ATATATGACTGTTATTTTGGGGATATTTTAGCTAACTTTCTGGAATATTTGTAAAAAAGTTATCTTCCTCTTAAGATAGTTCATAGACTTTTAATGGTTTAATAATGTATACAAATAAATGCAACATTTCTTATAATAAACCAGCCTGTTAGCAGCCTAGAATTTGCTTCTGCTTCCACAGGACCTTTTTAACACTATTCATAATCCTGAAGGGTATTCCAGAAGGTCAGGTAATCCACTCTTCCAATGAGTTATCCTCTCATTATCATTAGCTTGCTGTCAGTATCCTGTGTGAGCTCTGTCTGTGACTGCAAAGGAGCCCCCTTTGTCTCCTGTGCCCCAGCAGGCTGGGAGATGAGGATGCACCATCTGAAGGACAAACCACAGATTGTTTACATAGATTGTTTGTTTTTTGTTGAGTGAGATGAGGAAATAGGAGCTTATGTTCTTTTTATTTGCAGATTTCTATTTGTTGGAGGTGGGTTTTAAATTAAACAATATTGCATGGACCAGAGGGCAAAAAATAGGGACCATTTTCCAACATGGAAATCCTATCCTGCTCGTTGTACATCATCACCTGCAGCTCCTTCTTTCTTTGTGCTAAGGTACCAACCTCTGTGCATATATTCTTTTACCTTCCACTAACAAAGTAATAATAAGTAAATAAATTAATAAATTAATAAATATAATAATAATAATAATAAGAAGAAGAAGAGTAAGAATAATAAGAAGAATAAGAATAAGAATAAGAATAAGAAGAAGAATAAGAATAAGAATAAGAATAAGAATAAGAATAAGAATAAGAATAAGAATAATAGTTGAGTAGTTTGGTGACTATTGAGGTTTAAGGGGCTGAATTACAGCTACCAATTACTTTCATACAGACAGTAGATACAAATGCATTCACCACGACTTTAATTCTGAGCCACAAGTTAAATATTAGAAGGGAACATTGTAATCTAAATGCTGAAATTATGTTAGAAGTGAGAAATCAAAGAAGTGGCATCTAATCTTTTCCTTCATGACACGCTAATCAGCGACTTTTATTAGACATTTAACAGCAAATACTTACAAGTGTTGAATATCAAAAATTCTTGTGCTGGAAACCGCTGCACTGACAGAACAGAGATGGCTCTAACCTAACCTTCACATTCAATCAGTACATTTCTCTGCTTAATAGTGCTTTTTCTCCTACTGTTAGCTTTGTGATGATGAAAAACACATTTTGGTTTTGTGTCAGTACTGGAAATAGGACTTGCAGTCATACAATCTTTTGCCACTCTGTGCTGAGCAAGTGATTGAACAAAAAATTCAGTCTGTCAAGCAACAGTCAATAGCCATTGTGGCAGCTGATTTTGTGCTGATCAAGGCTTCTGGAGTGAAAGCTTGTATTGTCCTGGGAATGCTGATGTCCTGAACTGCCCAGAAAAGTTAAAGATGAGTAAAGTGAAATGTAAGATAAAATTTTTATATACAATGATGTTTATTATGATATATTATAATGTTATTTATGTAACTTTACATATTTATGTAAACAATGAGAGGTATAGAGTACAGCAGTTAATATTAAGGTAAATGTGCTACATTCCATATGGATAGTAGAAGAGGAAGGGATCACATTTTCTTAACCATTTGCCTTCTTACTTTACCATCATTAAATCCCTTTCACTGGATTTCTATACATGATATTTTGAACTTAATCATTCAAAAGCAATTATCAGTTTCTTTCTGGGAGTTACCTTGTGAGACAGCAGTGCTATCATATTGGAAATGCTGTTGATATAAGTTACTGCAGAATAAAAGAGCTGCTTTATTAACAGCTTCAAATATAAGCTATTTACTTCTAAGCAATAAGTCAGCTTTTTAACTGGAGGAAACCTTGCAAAATTATGTTTGGGAAGCTGAGTTCTGTTATCATCAAACCTAGCACTGCTGAAATGCTTACCTTTTCTTCTGTATTCCATTGAAATGCAAAGCCTCTGAATTGGCAAAGCAACAAACAACCATTTAAAAAGAAATCTTTAGAGGTTGAAAATCAGCATTGGCTTTTTTTGTCTCTACTTTGTTCTTTAAGCACTTTCACCTCTCCAGCATGAGCCAGCTCAAAACCCATTGTGGCTGACCATAACATCTAGTCTAGGATGTCTTTTGTGAGAACATGTCCACATGTCTGTGGCTGATATTTCTTACAGAAAAAGAACTTGATTGATTTGGAAGGAGTTTCTGCAGACCCATTTATGACATGCAGCTTGACCAGCTCAGTGCTGGTAAATGGAACTGGTAAGCTACAGGACACCTGGCAAAGAGACAGTGGTCATTTCTTCTGCTGCAGCAGGAACTTAGATGTCATGTTGGGTTGCCAGAGCTGAGGAAAAATATCATTCAATCTTTACTGAGGATAAAATGTAATATGAATTTCCTTGGCAAATGATCCTTAGCTGAATCAAAATCCAGGTAACAAAGCAGATGGACTTCTCAATTTTATTTTTGAAAGTAATCAAAACAAAACAGCAATAAAGGAGCCCTTATATAAATATAACCATGTTGAAAAAACAAACTACTTTAGGATGGTTCTGAGTGTCTTCTTTCCTTGTTATTTGTTTTGTACTTTTGTTTGTTGTTTACTTTTGGCAATGCCTCGTGTATATATCTACAGGGAAAAACACACCTGCTGTGGACCCTTCATATGTTCTTGCATATTCTCAGTGAGAACAGAAGTAATTTTTTATATTTTTACCCGGCTTTATGCTTCCAGTTTCATTAAGATTGGAAAAAAAAAAGCGAACAAACAAAAATATTTGTGCTGTGCCACAGAAAATGGTTGCAAGGAAGCAGTAGATTCAAGGGCAAAATCAGGGCAAGGAGAGGCAAGCAGAATGTGTGAGAAATGTCACACAAGCCCTTCTGGGTGTGCTCCCTCTCAAAGCATGGGGAGGTCTGGGGATGCAGTGCTGGTCTGGGGCTGGGACTGGAGAGACGTGGTCACCACTGGTCCATTCCTGCTCTGCTGCTGAATTAAGGATAAGAATTTATATATATTTTTTATATTATTTATATTTATAATACTGAATTATTGCAATGGAATTTTATTTTGTTTAATGCAGAAATTCTACAATTAAGTTTAAATTACAAATTTTGAAAAACATAGTTATTTTACTTATGTCTTGTTACATCCCAGTATGAACAAAATGGAATTCAATGAATGATTTTTCATCAACTTTTATTAATTTTGTTTATCATAATTTTCTATATCTGGATCAAAATTAAAGTCTTAATTGAAAAAGTCCTTTTATGTATAAATTGCCACTTATGGGTAAGTGTGCGTTTCTCTCACCTAATCTAAGTTGTATCTTTGAGGATGGTGTCTTGAGGATGCCAAGTGGTTTGTTTCCATAAAAGTTTAAGTGAATTCAGATTGCCAGGCATCATTATCATTTAACAGTGACTAAGACACATATATTTCTATTTTTATGTAAATGAAACAAGCAGCATTACCCTGCATATGTGGGGTTTTCTAGAGGTTCTCTAAAGACCATAGTTTCACTGCCTATAATGAAAGGTTTGCATAGATGGCTTTTTAAATAGGTATTGCTGCTTCTTCAAAGTGTTAAGACAGTAGGGAACAGAATGTCTTGGAACACCATAAATAGGATAAGAGCACATTGAAGCTGTACCTTCAAACACTACCTCCAGAGCAATGCGTCTGACAACTTTTATAAGTTCCACAGTCATTTAAAAACATAAACCAGAGAAAAACAAGGAAAATGAGACATTTGTGTAATCTGATTATAGCTATGTGTTTTCCCTATTAAAAAAATGGGTTTTTATTCCAAGAGAACGATGGAAAAATCTGGGGCCTCCTACCTGAAAGAGGAAAGTTCTCAATAAACTTTTGCTTGTCTTGAAGTCCAATCATCAGAATATTACTTTTTATTCTACTTAATGATTATATATTAAAAAAGTTATAGAGACATAAAAATAAGTATGTATATTTTTAAATATTGGCCTAGAATATCAATCACAGACATGGCTATATAATAAAAAAGGAAAGGCATAAATCAGCTCTGTCGCATGTCTTGTCAGAATTTAGGACAAAATCTGTTGCAGGAAGCTGGAAGATATTCATGGTTGTTATTTTGGAGTGGTAATATTTTGCCAGAAGGGAAAATGCTTTACCTCAAATCAGTGTCAAAATCTTGTAGCTGAATCCGAAACTTTCTTATGACTAAACTTTTTGTTTTTCTCAGTTAGTTTCCTGAACTTGGAATTCAGTAGAAAATATTATAAGGATACAAATTCCTCATTTAAGTTCAGAAATTAATTATAGAACCACACCACCATCATGAAATTACCTAGTAGTTCCTTAATGTCCCAGGAGCCAAGCAGAAAAGTACTAAGAGTAACTGTATTAAAGTTGTACATAAAGTTGTGTGTGTATATATAATAATATATGATTGATATATCTATATCTATATCATCTATATCTATCTATATCTATATCTATATCTATATCTATATCTGTATCTGTATCTATATCTATATCATCTATATCTATATCTATATCTATATCATCTATATCTATCTATATCTATCTATATCTATATCTGTATCTATATCTATATCTATTTCATCTATATCTATATCTATATCTATATCATCTATATCTATATATCTATATCTCCACATATAAAATCTATATCTATATCATCTATATCTATATATCTATATCTCCACATATAAAAGCAACATATGTTTTATTAAATATATAGGAACATTTGAAAATGAGACATGCTTAAAGACTGAATTAATTACAGTCCTTTAATAAAAAAAAAAGAAAAAAGCAAGGATGATAGTATAATGGTAGATGACAAGATACAGGAAGCAACTGAGGAGAGATTGAGAAGACATTCTAACAGTTTGAATTTCCTATTGGGCTGTATGAAATTGACAATATTGACAATATATATATATTGGCAAGTTAGAAAACAGTTACTACTTACATCTATTTCAGTACCCCAGTTCTGATCCCAGCCTGTGCAAACAGAGAAGAAGCAAGGGGCAACATTATATTTTTTAGGTGTACTCATAAGCTCCCGTAGTCAGCTATTACCATCTTGACTCATTAGGAGAAATGCTTTGAGCCTATGCAAGCTGAGTCAATCATTTACCTGCATGCACAGAGTTCAACTATGAGCAAACTGAGAGCATATTTCCTGTTTGGAAATTCTAGTCTGACGATTTCTGTCCTTTGATTCCATTTTTGTTTTATGACAAGAGCTAAACACTCATTCCTTAACCATCTTCTTCTTGGCATCCATGATTTCACAGACTTATTTTGCATGCCTGAGGTTTACAGGTCAGATCTCATTCAGAAGTGTTTGTATATCTTTGAGAATTCTTTCTGCCCTTCTTTGCTTCTTTTCAAATCTTATTATCCTTTTGGGATATGAGAACCATAAGTATTTTATACTGTCTTCCTTTCCTTATCATTTTTATATGTTTTGGGTTTATTTTTCACTCTTCACTCTTTTTACTCCTTCTCCTTTAGATAATATTTCCATAGAACTCTTCATTATATTTGCAAATCTTTGACTAAATAGTAAAGTTAACAGCTGGTATTTACCAGTTACCAGTGGTAACTCCTCTTCACGGTTTCCATGAAAAAATCAGGATTGTTTTCTTCAGTGTGCACAATTACAATGTGTTCAGTATTGGTTTATCCATTGTACTGCCAAGTACTATCATGTAATTCTTCTTCTTCACCTTTTGACACTTCTCCCAATGCTCATTTAATAGAAAAAATGTTCATTTGAGGTTGGGAGACGTAAAAATATTCAGTGTTTTAACTCTGACACATTTTTACCACAGAACATGGTCTATCTTATACCTGTTCCTAGAAAACAGTTATCTACGAAATATTAATCCTTGTCTGTATTATTAATCATTAATTATTATTATCACAAATATTAATCATTGGCTACCCTTATAGGTATAAAATCGTATTGTAAAATACCTGCAGAACAGTAAGAAATTCTCCTTATTGTAAAGGAAATAGAAAGCAGATATGACCAGTGTGGCAGTCCATGTAATCTAGTGTTTTCTTTCTGGTGCTGTGAGGACAGTATGTTTCAGAGTGCTGTAGCAGACATATTTGCAACAACCCATTTGGAGAGTATTTCTTTTTGTATTTATCAGACTTTACAGCTTGAAACAAGAATCTTCAATCCTTCATCCTTTAGGTAATTTCCATCTCTCTTCAGGGCACAAGGTAATCTTTAGCTGACAAGGGCACAAAGCTGCATTTTTGGGAGGCAGGTTCCTCCATCATTTTCCACACGAGTACATTGCATCTCTCTCTGATGTATGGGGCCCTGGCCCATGGCAGGGACAGAGTGCTGAGCTAATCACAGGTCTGCTCCAGCACAGCAGATCCCATCAGATAACAGATGAGCCACGACAAGTACAGAATTTACTGTCAGTAGTACATAATTCCATCTGAAAACACATAGTAATGCATGTCAAAAAAGCTAATTGACTGTACTTGTAGGTAATTTTATACCTTATCCCTTTGTAAATATATGTCCTGGTATGAAATTCAGTTTATGAAATACTGGATTTTATAATCTTGATTCAAATTGTTCAAGTATTCATGATTTTTTTTTTTTTTTTCTCATGGAAGGCAAAGTTATAGTTTCTTTAATTTTTCAAAAAGCTTTTCTTTATAAGATAAGCAATTGAAATCATTTTTATAAATATCTTTCTGTCTCTGTGGAGTGGAGAAGACAACTGCAGACTAGACTTGCAGAATTTTGTTGCTGTTTCTTTAATTTAAAAGCGCTGTCCTGATAAGTGAAAATAATAACTGTTCTTAGTCTACAAAATACTTTCAACAACCAAATAAAAATTGGGACAGTTCGATTTCCTGCTCCATCGTGTGTAAATCTCTGCTCTGTGTTCAGTAAAACATTTGGCACCTTCTTGACAACTGAAAATGGGAACAATGATACCTTTCTAACTCACAGGGGTGGTGTGATAGACTAAAACCACTAGTCACACTAAGTGATCATCTGATTACAAATCTGAGGCCAGTGATCATCCTAATCCAGCAGTTTTCTCAGTTAAAATCCCCAACTGTCCCTTAGTTAAGCTGCTTCAAAAAAGGAGACATTGATTCTCCAGAAAAATCAAATATCTATTGGTAGCTTGCATGTTTTATGGGCTGTATTTTGAATAAGATGCAGAGTGTTTGAAGTGTTCTTGAGTTATCTGTTGACTTTTAAAATAGTTTTATAGTTTTCATTCCCTTACAGAGTTAAAACCATTAGGTCATTTCATGTAACAGTGTAGAAGCCATATATCAAGGTACTCCTTCAGGAAATATAAATTTTGTCTGACTGGAGGATGACTTGTCAATTGGCTAGCACATGTTTTTCAAGAAGACTCTAGTTGTAATTTAAGCCATATCAAGAGAATATGCTATTTTCCGTGGAATGTGTATCAATTACAGGAGTCGAGGGAAGATGTCCTTTTTTATTTTCCCTACACAATGTAGAACAGCACTTCAAGCAGGCAAATGGAAAATTTTGCAGGAGAAAAAGGTGGCTCACATGGATACCACAGAATTTCATAAAATCTCCAGTATGACCAATGAATAAGAGGGAATATTATGCAGAATACAGTCTCAGCCTTAACTGGCAACATGTCTACATTCAAAACAGGAGGAGAAAATTAGGGCTATATTTTAAGGATTATTTATTTACTTATTTTTTTTTTTTAAATTGATTCAGTCTAGCAGTTCAGTTTCTCTTAGTCTAGAAATAAATATAGCTCAGAACTTCCAAACCTGGCTACCTTTCATTTGAATTAAAAAAAATTTAGATAACATGTACCTTGAAGAAACTATTTCATTCAATTATTCAGATGTTTATTTTTCCATATGTATATTTTAAAATGTACTGTTCCTTAACTCTAGAATGTATCTTCGTGTCCCTTGTAGATTAAATTTGAACTTTTTATAATTATGAAAGTTGAAAATAATAAAGAAGACATTTAAGGGAGGCTGGAGCAGTCCAGTTCTGCACTGAACTTCTGAGACTATTGATCCCTTTTTTATTACAGTCTGAATTCACAGAAATCATCAACTTACTCCTACATAGATTTTCCTCTAATTGCCACATGGCTGATTTAATTTTTTTAAAATTATCAAAAATATTAGATAATATGATAATTTGGAACAATACCATTTCCAGACATCATTGCCTGTGAAGGGTAGTTCTAGTCTCCAGTAAATAAAGTATGTTTTTCTTTATCATGCTGTCACTTAATACATCAGTGCTCATATAATTCTGTGATTTTTTTTTTTTCTGTTATAAAACCCTAAACACTCACTATGTTAATTATTATTTTAATTGTACATTCTTATATAACATCCAAAATTTATTTGTGTTTGCTGCTTTTCAGAGTTTTCTGTGATTCCCCTGAAGATATAAATCACAGGACTTTGTTTTCTTATACTGAGTGCATAGAAAAAAGCATATTCAACTCGAATAAATGCTCATTGTCTTGCACCAAAAGGTATCCTGACTATCAGACTTAAGTCTTTTTAACCAGCAGTATGCACAGAATATAAAATACTATATAAACTCCTTTGCAGGTGAAGACATATAACTAAATTTTGCATTCACCTGCATGTGTTTAAGAAGAGAACAATATGATATTTCTGTAAAAAAAAGTGGTCCCTGATGTGATGTTTTTCACTGCATAAAGCAGCATAAGCAGCACATCTTGAGTAAGAAACATACATCAGATAAAGAAGAAAAACACTGGTGGGTAAGGAAATAAAAATTAAGTTTTGTCATGTTTCTTCAATCCTAATCTTTTTCAGAAGTGCTCACCGCAATGGTGGTGGCTCTTAGCACGTGTTGCATCAGAGTCTACAGTCAGAAGTGCAGGAATGTTTTTTTCATGACAGCATGCTGTTAAAGACACAAACTGTAATCCATTATTTTCTAAAATTTCTGACCTTCTGGCAAATATAATTCTTCAGTTTCATCCCCAGTGAGATATTTCTGGCATTAGCAGGTCAAATCCTTGTTTGTTTTGAAGACAGTGCTCCTTTGACATATATTTTTCAGCATCATCTAGATTTTTTAAAAATTCAGCTATAGGCATGTGTAGATAAATACTGAAATACTTTCTCTGATTGCCATTAGTGCAAGAAATTACTGAATTTTTACAGCTTAATTGACCTTTTATGCTCTTGATCCATTTCTCTCAATATCTTCAACAGACTGATTTGTAGATTTGCTAATTTTACATTAGCATGATAGTTCTGGGAAGCTATGCAGATTGCACTCCTCCTCCTGATTCTTCTTTTATCAGAGCATACCAAATTTTCAAACATTGATGCTAATTTCATCTTTTTATATATGTTACTGGAACTCTTAATGTGCTTGGAGACTTTGAAAAGCTTCACATGATTGTACTCATCTGTTTTGAGGCTTCTTATATTTCTGTACATATTTAAGTTCTTTTTCAAGGATTTTCTAATTACTATGAGCTCTTCTCTTACGATTCTTCATGATCAATCACTGTGCTTTCCAGTTTTCCATCTTGGATGAATATATACTGCAATTGCCTAAGTTTGTGTGTGGATATACAAATATGTTTGTATATGCACATGGATATAGGCATATGAACAAATATGTATACACACACTCATATGTGTATGCATAACATACATAGAATATGCATATATGGATATTCATCATGACATTTTTAGGCATATAAGGAGGCCCACAGGCCCTAGCTACCAGGGCTAGCTCGATTAAACTATGACAAAACATGTTTTTTTCCTTTGGTGCTCTTTCCAAGGATCCCAGCTCTTCATGACACTTTCTGAAGCCTAGTGTACAGCAGTATCTGTGCACCACTGTGACAGAGCACTTTTTGTCTTCTGCAAATTGAAGTTCATTACATTAGTGCTGATGTTCTCTCAGCAGGTGGTCGATGTCAATTATTTTTTGCTTCTGTGTAATGAAAGCTGCTACATATTCATTTCAATTCTGTTACAGAGCTCTGAAGTTCTGACAAGCTGTGAGCAGTTCTTCAATC